TTTCAGTCTCTAACAGTATAAAACAGTATACAGTATACAATAGCATACAGTGTATAACAGTACATAATAGTATACACTATATAATAGTATGCGATATATAACAAACTTTTAGGGAAAAAAAAACATTGGCTAAATCTTCATGATCTAAGGCTAGGCATGGCTCTTAAACTTGGCAACAAAAGCTTGACCCATAAAAGGAAAAATTGATGCAGTGGACCTCATCAAAATTAAAAACCTTTGTGCTAGGAAAGACCCTATTAAGAAGGTGAAAAAATAAACTACAAACTGGGAGAAAATATTTGCAAACTACTTAGCCAATGAAAGACTAATACTTAGACTCCATGAATAACTCTTACATTTCAACAGTAACACACACACACTCGTGACACACACACACTTCGGTGAGGAAATGGGTAAAAGACATGAAGAGAGGTTCTCCTAGAAGAGAATAGAGAGGTGAAGAATAAGCCGAAGGGAATAAGGGAAGCTATTCCTCACCATTAGCCACCAGGGAAATGCAAATCAAAACCACAAGGTGATATTGGACCTGCCTGTCCAAATGGCTAGAATGACAAATAGTGACGACACAGTCACACGGCAGAAAGGGGTCTCCTGGGGCCCAGCCAGAGCTGCCCTGCAGTCACGACAGGGAGGATGCTCCAGGGCAGGCTCGCCTCTGCAGAGTGGGCTGCAGGGTCAGGCTGGCCTCACTCGAGCTGAAAGCCTGGCTCCCGGCCCCACCTCCCTGGACAACTCGGGACACGCTGCTTCTGAAGTGAATTTATTTGGAACGCCCAGCCTGGTGGCAGTCCAGGAGTTCATGGGGACCGCGTGACTACTTTCCCTTCTTTCATCTTACTTTACATTCATGCTATTTATGACATGAAGCATATAATATTAAACGGACAGATGAAAGTTTTAAAATAATCTTTAAAACTGTTTTTTTGTTGTTGTTTTGTTTTGTTAATCCTCACATGAGGATATCTTTCCATTGATTTTTAGAGAAAGCGGAAGGGAGAGGGAGAGACAGAGAGAAACATTGATGTGAGAGAGACACATCGATTGGTTGCCTCCTGCACACATCCCGGCCAGGGCCAGGGAACCGGCAACTGAGGTAGGTGCCCTTGACCGGAATCGAACCTGGGACTCTCAGTCTGCAGGCCGATGCTCTATCCACTGACCCAAACCGGCCAGGGCTAAAACTATTTTCAGTTCAATAAAATAATGGCTTGTCTGTGTGTCAGGTCTATGTGTGATTACCTGACTGAGCTCCTCCCACCCCTGTGTGAGTAGGTAGCTTATTCTCTTTTGACCAAAGGAGAAATGGCTTCAGAGAGAATAAGTTACTTGCCTGAGGTCGCACAGGATCCAGACGTGAACCCAGCCATACCTCCTTCCAGACTCTCCACCCCATGCCGCCTCCAGGCAGAGCCGATAAGATGCCAGTGTCACTGTCGCTGACTCAGGCAAGATTTATTGCTGGGACACACAGACCCGCCTTTCAATGGTAAACACGCTATTCCATTGGCCAGAACGTAGGTGCTTGGGCCCCACCTAACTGCAAGGGAGGGTGGGAAGTGTGGACCCACTGTGTGCCCAGGACACAGGAATTGGTCAACACATAACGGTGTCTCAGTCAAAGCCACTTCCCAGTGATTCCTTTTTATTCTTCGCCTCATGCTCAAAGTCGATGTCAGGATGCCCTGATCAGGGTGCAAACCAGCCAAGAACAGAAAAGCTGCTTCTTGTTCTCGGCAGGGCCAGGCAAGGCACCACTCTTCCTGCAGAAATTTTTTTTTTTTTTTTTATGTTTAAACACTTTTTAAAAATGTATTTTTATTGATTTTAGAGAGGGAGAGAGATAGAAACATCAATGATGAGAATCACTGATCAGCTGTCTCCTGCACATCCCCCACCGGGGATCGCGCCCGAAACCCAGGCATGTGCCCCTGGCCGGAACCGAACCTGGGACCCCTCAGTCCGCAGGCCGACGCTCTATCCACTGAGCCCAACCGGCCAGGGCTAAATGTTTAATTTTAAGCTGATCTCACCACCAAGGCACTAACCACACACCACAAACGATTCCCATTATGTGCAAGACAGTCCGAGCGGCTCCCAGCTACCACTCTGTGTCCACCAAACTCCACAGATAGTCGCTGATGAACTTCTTGGAGAGCTGGGTGCTGTCCAAGTGGATGGGCTGGGCCACGCTGGGGCCACGATGGACTGCAGGCAGGATGTAAGGAAACCCGATGCACAGCCTCCTCCATGACCCCCCAGCCAGAGGATAACGCCTTCAAAATGTGTTAGTAAGATGTTTAGAGCCCTGGCTGGTTTAGCTCACTGGACAGAGCGTCGGCCTGCAAATTCCTGCAGAAATTTAAAGAATATGTTTTTAGTTCCTTTTGTCCCGCATCCTTTCTTGTCCTTACATAGAGAAGCTTTGTGGGTCAGGCTGGGCTGCAGGCTGCACAGGAGTCAGAGAAGCCTCTACTGCCCCCTCCTGCCTGGGCACTGGGCGTATGCACTCCACACTCAGTGCTCCAGCCCACCGCCGAGCTCCTTGCTCCACTTAGCCAGCCTGCACCACCCAGGCACTGGTACCCACCTCACTGGGCACCCACTTCCCCCCTGTGCCCACCCTGCCAGCCAAGGGCCTGCACAAGTACAACCCGAGGAAGGGTCTCCAGCAGCCCAGGCAGAGGTTCCACGAGTTCTTTGCTGCTACCTCCCCTGCCTCTCTCTGCCTCTCTGGCCAGGCTAGTCAGCCTACTTCATAGCAACTCAACTCTCAGAGACATCAGGAACCTGCACTGATTTAATCAAGCAAGTGCCCTCTCAAGTGGCAGGAAATGCCTGGACTGTACCCTTTGGTGCATGGAGCAGGACCGCTGCCCCAGATTCTGATGTTCGGTCTTTAAAGGCAGCTAGGAGCTCGCCCAGATCATGCCTGCCTCCCTGCAAGGTTGGATTCCAGAAGCAATGACCTGTCTTGGAGGATCATTTGGTTCAGCGGTCGCCAGCCGGTGGTCCGTGAGGTCCCTGAAAGGTTGGCGACCGCTGATTGGTTCATACATTGGATTAGGCATGCTGTGCACAGAGCTGCGGGCCAGGAAACCCGGTTCCAGGGCTGGCTCAGTTATGGACTCTTTGTGACCCTGGACAAATCCTTTGTGAGCCCTGGGCCTCAGTTTCCTCACCTGTGAAATGGGAATAAGTAATGCCTGTTCTTCCCACCTTGCAAGGTTGTTGTAGACAGTTTTGGGGGGAAATTCTAAAAAGTAGCCAACACATACAGACAGAAGACTGGAGGTCCTGATTGTCCTTGGGGCAGGCTGGCCACATGACGCGGTTCTGGGCAGTGACGTACAGGCGGGGTGTGCTGGAGGCTCTTGGAGGACTTTAGCTCTCCTGGTTAGAAAACGACAACGGAGCAGACAGGGCTGACCTGGAGCTTCTTCCTTCCTCTTCCTGCCTTGAATTCTGAAGAGAGGCCAGGAGCTGGGGTGTCATCTGGGACCATGAAGAGACTTAGGGCCTCTCCTAACCAAGTATGACCCCATCTTACTCAGAAACGACTGTGTGTGGGGGGGTGAGGGGGGCGGGGGGTGTCCTTCCTAGCCCAGGGAGACTGACTCTAGAAGTAGACAAATGAGCTCAAGTTCTCTGGGTCTCTGCCTTCCCAACCTTCCCCCCATCATCCTTGGAGAAAGGGCTCCTGGTGGACTCTGGGGTTTATTCTTAGAAAGCTGGTAATATTAAGCAGAGTTTCTATTTTAGAGGAAAATGCTTTCACAAGGGATCTTTCAACATTTTCCATTTGATACCTATTTAAGGAAATACCAGACAGTCCCTTCAAACACAGCTTGGGAGAAGAGGCACTCTCCACTCGCCCCCCCTGCCCCCCCACCCCCCTTGCAGAGGGATGTTCTGTGCAGCAGCACTGGCTTCTCAGGGACCACCCTTGCCTGAGGGAATGCCATGGGCCAGCCCTGGTGATCATCTGTCAGGTGATCCCACCTTTATGCTCACTCCTGCCCTCTCCCTCTGGCTGGGTCAGAACCAGAACCGGCAGCAAGTGCCTGCTGGCGACTCCAGGAAGGGCTGGGCACGCCCACAGGGACCCCCGGCCTGCAGTCTCTAGGGCCTGTGGACCTTGGACCCTCATCCAAGTCTTCTGGCTTCAGATCCCACCTCCTTGTCTTTGCACAGCATGGTTCCTGAAGATGAGTGAATGCATGGGAGGGAGAAGTAAGAAGGAACAGTCTATGAACTTACTTTGTTAAGTCTTTACCCACCTCCATCACCAGACCCAACTCTGAAGTTCCAGAAGGAAAAGAAGAAACGAAAAGAAAAAGGTCACATTTCAAATGGTTCCCACAGTGACTCATTTCAGAAGTGGGGTTTCTTCCTTTTTCAAAATGGAATCAATACCGCCTTTCATGAAAACAGCCTTTCTTTCCCCCTTCGGCGGCAGCCCGGACCCACCCTTTTTGGCTCTGCAGACGCAGAGAAGGAAGCCAAGGACCAGCTCTCCCCAAGGGCCTGGCGGGACCGGCAGGCAGGGCAGGAGGGGGTGCTCTTAAAGGGGAGGAAGCTGGAAGGACCCTCTTGTTTCTTCAGGCGGACCCTCTACCATTGATAACCTCATCCACATTGAATTCCAGGCCCTCTCCCCACCCAGGAAGGCTGAACACCAAGCAGGGGACTCTAGAACTCACGCATCTTCTTGGAGCACCCTGGCCAGCAGATGCTCACATGGACTCCATCACCCTGGGGAGACATTTGGGTCTTTCCTCCAGACCCCCACTGGGGAGGTGAAGGGGAGGGTGAGAGAGATCAGTGGACAGTGTAGGCAATGGCTCATGAGGAAGTTTATTCCAAAATCTCAATGTTTTTGGGGCAAAGGGATCAAGAAATTCAAATGTCTGCCCTCTGTTTGCCATGGTCTGATGCCCGTTGGAGTGTAGTTAGAATATGTGCCTGTTTGGAGCACTTGCCTTGGATGGGAAACTTAAACACACTTAGGTCCATTTACTCGCCTCATCAGCTTTAATCATTTCACAGGACGAGAGATATGTAAGCCCAAGAGGGTCCCTTTGTTCTACCCACCCCTCCACTGAGTGTCCTCTACTGAAGTTCCAGCTGTGCTGGAAAATGCGCAGAAGCTTTCCCGAAAGACAAGAGGACAGTGTTCTGTGCAGAGGTGCATGGGAGCCAGCAAGCGTGGTCTGCTCGGGACCTGGCAATTAATTCAACCCTGCTGGGCAGCGGGAGCCTGTGGAGTGGCCGGGCTGCGGTGGTAAAGGGCAGACCGTGTTAGGTCTCATAAGCTACATGGAGACGTTTAGACGTTATCCAGGGGTGCATGGGCGCTCTGGAAATGACAGAAGGGGGAATGAGCTGCTGAGATGGACGTTTCACAGGAAATCTTAAATCCTCTACCTGAGAGGATAGCTACAATTTTCCCTTTTCTCCAAGGACTTAAAATGCTTCTCAGATCATAAGCCGGACTGTGATTGTCCAGGTGACAAAGGATGACGTACCGATCCCCCCATGGGGAGGGCGCCCCATCCGGCCTGTGTCTCTGGCAGGGCCTGGCATGATGGGCCACCTAAGCAGATGCCACCGAGAAGGGGCCCGACCCGAACCCCCTTTGTTGACAGTCTTGAGCTAAGTACAGTCTTGGCAACAAAGGATGATGGCCCCCGATGATCTCAGATGTGAGAAGACTCCAGGGGAGAAGAGCTTGTCCTCGTTCTTGGGTCATTGAGTTGGGTTGGCTAATGAGTTGGGTTGAGTTTGGACTTGGCCAGAAGAGATAGCAAAGAAGAGAGGAGGAGAAAAGTGGCCCTGCACATGGGGGTGGGCACAGAGGTAGTACTGCCCCTCTCCCCCAGCCTCACCCTTTGTGCTCCAAGACCCTGGGAGCTTTCCCAGGAGGGGCTCAGAGCCCAGAAGAAAGTCCTTCCATTTCCAGAGCTGTAGGCCCACACTCGCCTTTAGCCCACACCACTGCTACCATCTGTCAATCCAGAGGCTACGACTGGTGCCAGGTCCTATATCCAGGGGCCTACCACTGTGCTGGCCGCAAAGAGGGCATCTGTGAAAGTTTGCCAATCACCTGGATGGGGACAGGCTCCTTCTTCCTCGTCCTGAGCCTCAGGTCTCAGAGACCCCTTGGGTCCCAGGACAAAGCTCTGGACCCCTCTGTGGTTGTAGGACTTCGTGCCTATGAATCACCACTTGGCCAAGAGCCACATCTGCCCTCCCTCCCACCCCCACGTTCCTACCATGATGTCCATGCACTCCCCTTTGTTTTCGTCCATTTTTCCTGCTGCCAGAACTTTCCATGCTTCATTAGGAGGGAGTCACTCCTGTCCTTTCCGCTCCCTGCCCCTTCTACCAGTTTCCTTTTCAGGTGATACATTTGTTCCTTGATGAGCTTCCTGAGGACCCAGCCAGGACCCATTAAGGCCTGTCCCTACCTTCACCCCTCAGGCACTGTCCTGGGCAGCCAGGACCTGCTGTCCTCCCCGGGGATCAGCAAGCAGCACCAGGCTCCCAGGGCCTGGAACCTATTTGGTTTAATCTCACCGAGACAGAAGCCGGGGCCCATGCCTTTCTCCCCCAGAGTTCAGCACCACGCCCGTCCGTGTCACTGTAAGCAGCAACCACACTAGTAAGTACCCCCCTGTGAAAGCTGGCAGGAACCTCACCAGGCAGCAGGGGAAATCTGAGTGCAGGGGCTTGAAAGATCAAAGTCAACCGTGTCTTTTGGGGGGTGGGATGGGGCGGGGAGGTCAGGTTGCAGAGACTTCCGAGAGGGAGGAATGAATCCTGCCTTTATTTCGCTGGCACTGGTTCTTTCATCTGGGGCCAGGGGTGTCCCCTCCCTATTGTAGCTGCTTCCCCAGATGGAGAAGAGGGTGTCATTTTCTTACCATGAGAGAGTTCAGCTCTGAATGGGATACCATTCCTAGTCAGCAGGGAAGAGGCAAGGCTTGATGAGACAGCATTTGGTGGAGCCCACCCCACAGCAGCCACGGGGTACGTGTTCAAATCCCTCCCCTCCCAAGTCCCTCTCCCCCTCCCCCATAGTGAGGCTGCTTCTTATACAAGGGGAGGCCAAATTTGATTTTCCCTCTTGCCAGTGGAATAACTCAAGGCAAGTTCTAATCCTAACCTCACCTCCTTCGGGCCAATAGTTGGCTGTTCACCCCACTTTGGATGCTGTTCACCCTCCCGCCAAGGGGCGCACAGTCCCTGGGACAGACCTGAGGAGCATGAGATGTCACCGAGGAACAAGTGACAGAGCTTAGTGAGAGACCCGAGTTCCAGGTCTGGCTGTGTGACACTGGGCAGACTCATCTCTTTTCTTCTCTGAGTTAGTTCATCATCATCATCATTGTCAGCAATGCCATTTACTGTGCACTGTATGCCAAACAAGTATTAACTCATGCAATTCTCAGAACAGCCCTATAAATAGATATTCTTATTTAAGATAGAGAAACAAGCTTCACCCTGGCATGGCTCAGTGGTTGAGCATCGACCTATGAGCCAGGAGGTCATGGGTTCCATTCCCGGTCAGGGCCCATGCCCGGGTTGTGGGCTCGATCCTCAGTGTGGGGCATGCAGGAGGCAGCCAACCAATGATTCTCTCTCATCATTGATGTTTCCATCTCTCTCTCCCTCTCCCTTCTTCTCTGAAATCAATAAAAATATATTTTTAAAAAGCAATGAGGTGCAGGGAGATGACTAAACGTGAGCAAGGAGTGAAGACAGAATTTCAGCCTGGCTCTGTCTCATTCCAAAGACTGCGTGTAATGCACGTTGAAGGTGGCCCCTAAGAAGATATGCCCCACCCTATGCCCCAGGCCCCAAGCGTGTGAAAAGGGTCTTTGTAGATGTAATTGGCTGTGGATCTTGAGATGAGATGATCATGGGTTGTCAGGTGGGTTTGAAATGCAGGGACGAGTGTGCTTGGAAGAGACAGGCGAGGAGAAGACAGAGGATGAGAAGGCACGTGCAGAGGGAGGCCAGCTCGGAGTGACGCCACCACACGCCAAGGAGTCCCTGGGGCCACTGAGGCTGAAGAGGCAAGAGAGGAGATTCCCCTGGAACCTCCGAAGGGGCCACAGCCCGCCCGACACCTTGGTTTGGGACTTCTGGCCTCCAGAACGGAGAGAATGTACATTTCCGCTTTAAGCCACGGAGTTTGTGGTTATCTGCTCCGGCAGCCCAGGGCGCTCAGACACTGTCCAATGCACACAACGGCCTTTGCTTGTTATCAAATGGTCATGGAAAGTCTCCTTGCTGCAGCAAACAGTGGAAAAGTTTCTGAGGACTCTTAGGTCCTCCCAGGCTAGCTGTACCCGCTTGACACCAGTCCTGGTTAGCACATCCAAGTGGCCCTGAGCCACCTCCCTTGGGAAGCCTCTCTCTGCAGGGACAGAGCGATTCCCACAGACGGAGCCAGCCCGGGCCAAGCGCTCGGTGCTCCTGGCAGCCACCCTGCCTTGGTGCTGCCCACGGCTCAGCCCGCTTCTAGTTGGAGCCTCCCTCTCAGTGGTGGTGCTGCAGAGAGAGCGAGCCAGGCACCTGGGGGTGAGGTGGGGTGAGTGGGTGGGGGGATGGGTGGGGGCGACGGGACATCGGCAGGAACCAGTGCTCCCAGGCTATTAAGGAGCCTGAGTCACTGAGAAACATCTCTTGACTCCCTATTGCCTGGGAATCAAGTTCAAACGCTTCAGCCTGGGATTCAAGACCCTATGAACTGGCCTCAGGCTGCTGCCAGATTCCTGGTCCCTGGGGATCCCGGGTGCTGACCCAGCTCCCGAGGCCTGGCTCTGTGGCCCAGATGACCGCCTGTGCATCCTCACCCGTCCCGTCCCGCCCTCCAACCCGCCCTCCGTCGTCTCTGTCTGTGAGGCCAGAACAAGTTGATCCAACACATCTTCCCTGGGGCTCCTCCTCTGCTCCAGCGGGACAGGCAGGGGACAGCCTGCCCACGCCCCTCCTGGCCCAGGGGCTGCTCAAAGGCAGTGCCTGTTCCCCCTCAGTAACTGCCCTGGCTCAGCACACAGTAGGTGCTCAATCAGTGTTTGTTGATGGGAACGGGGCTGAAGGAATCTGAGGGAGCTTCCTCCCCAGACGGAGCACGAGCACTCTCCTGGAGGGCTCACGCTGCTCCTGTGCGTGCAGCTTCTGTTCTCCCTCCCCGCTCCTGCCTCTGGTGCCATCTATAGCTCAGCTCACAAATCCCGCTTTCCTGGGGCACAGGCACTGAGACCATGGTGTGAGTGCCCCCTGGAGAGGTGCACGGTCGTCACCCAGGTGCATTCTGTCTCCCGGTGCGGGGCCCAGCTCAGGGAGGTCAGGGTCTGCTTTTTCTCCCTGGTGCTTTTATCCCGCACAGCGCCTCCAGACATGGCCAGGGCCTCCTCCTGAGGCTACAGAATCTCCCCGCAGGTGCAACCAGCCTCCCTCCCCCAGTCTCCCCTCCAGGGGACACCTTGTTCTCTGTTCCCCTCACTAATCATAGAACTAGATGTGTCCTGAATCAGGTCAGCCACCAGCCGCCCACATGCTGGGCCTTCAGCCTTAGTGAAGTGACGAACAATCGTATGGTCCTAACTGGGGCACTTTTAGAGGGACACGGAACCTGTGGTATTCTTAGTCCAGGACAACAGAGTCCATCCCAGCCCGCCTGACATTTCTCTACTCAGTGGAGAGGGAGAGCACCTGCAGGGGTTGGTCATTTGGAGGAGAGAAGGGAAAGGCAGGGCCACAGCTCTCTGGGGAGGGTCTCTGGGTCCCTGTGAAGGGACTGTGTGCCCAGCCTGTGCCCATCCCAGCTGACACATGAACCCTGCAGCTGGAGGTCAGGCACCTGGGAGTTAGTCCTGGGTCCATGTACATGAGGCCAGTCACCTCCCGGCCTGGGGATTGGTTCACCCCTTTTGCCACCTGGGGTACATCTGCTCTTCCTGCCACACGGAGCCTTGAGAAGCCTCAGGAATGATGCGGGTGAGGGCTTTTGTGCCCTGCAAGACATGCTCACTCTCCTTTTGGTGTCTGGGCGAGAGGCTCTGCTAGAGGACGAACAGATGCAGGGCCACTTGCAGGCCCGCAACCAACGCTCTCTCCCACTATTTCCTTTTGGGGACCTACCCCTGAGCGCATCTCTCTGGGGGGTTAAAAATAATCTATATCATTTCTTCCCGAGAGCCTTCTGGATGCAGTGGAATAGTACAGGAGCTGGGAGCTGGCCAACAGCAAGAGCAAAAGCAACTGAGCAACTTCCACCGGCGAGCGGGAAGCAAGTGTGGAGAGGGCTGTGGGCCAGGGGAAGGAAGGGAGGGAAGCAGCAGACCTGCCTTCTTTGGGGCTGGCATGTGGGCCTGGGCGTTTTTTTGGTGGGGGGGTGGGGGGCTGTCACAGGCTCCCAGAGGGCCGCTCAAATGGACCAGGACAGGAGAAGACCGGGGAGGGCTGCGGGTCAGCGACATCACCGTTCACTTCCTGATAATTTTAGCCACCGGGGAGGAGGCTAAATCTATCCCAAGCAATTGTCTTCAGTTTAAGTGGGCCCCCAAGGGAGGCTCACGGCAGGACAGGAAGGCCAGCAGAGGTGGGAGGGACTGAGGGTTAACAATAGCCGCTGGCTGCCTGGGCCCCAGGAAGGAGCAGCCTCAGATTCATCCCGAGGAGGCCCAGGGGGTCACTTTCTGATCTGCAAGGCCGAGGGGTGGATCACGGAACGGAAGCATGGGAAACATGGCCAGACTTAGCAGAGAGGGCCAGCTGGAATGGACTGTCAGCCCATGCACTTGGGGACTTTCCACAGGACAAAACAAATGTTCTCCGCACACAACGCGGGGTCAAGGGCCATAAGATTGAAGAGTGTTCTGTTTGCCTGCGGCCCTGTAGTCTCCCTGTGTGACCTCGCGTGGGTCAGAGGTGCCAGCCCCTGGCCACTCCCCGCTCCTAGGGGGGGGTGCCCGGGCTGAGGACTCGGCGGGAGTGAGGGCTCTTAGCAGTGTATCACCAGGCACCTGTTCACGCGGGCACAGGCTGCCGG